GAGATGGCATATGCACTCATTCAGTCCTTTGGAACTTCAGAAGTTCTCAAAGACCATTCAGAAGACTGCTAAAATCAACCTTTGCTAGCACACAAATTGAAATTTAACTGGCTGCGGAGACATGAATTCATATAAATTAGCTAAATTCTGTGTTACTATCTTCTAGTCTATTTTCAGCTGTAGTTCCCTCATTCTCCTAGTGATATAACAATAACTAGGTAACTATGTAATTAACTATGTAATTAGACCTGTATTTTCTTGGCTTTCTTTCCCCCCCATTGTCCTACCCTTTTTGTTTGTTTGTTTTTGATATTACTTGCAATCCTCGTTCTTAATTCATCTTTAACTTATCTTCTCCTATAGAGTTCCTATACTTTCTACTGCTTCTGGAGATTACATTGTATTCTTCTTTGGTTATATTCAATTCTCCAGGTTTCCTTGGTAACTCTAAGCAGCGGTCTTCCAAGTCACTCAATAATTTAAAATTTTTAAAAAGCATGCTCCCAGGTCTCAGTATTCTGGATCTGAAGAACAAGCATTTGGTCACTTATTTTAATTCTGTATATTTAGCAGTCCTTGGAGATGCAGCCAAGACCACCTGTTCCAAGTATACACTTTGTGTACTGGACACAAAATTTCTGGCTAGCAGGACTGTTAGCTTTTGACTGTACTTTCTTAAATTGGTCAAAGAATAAGTAAGCAGATTTTACAAGACAATGTTAGTATTGCTTATTATGCAAGTATTATCCTTATAATTTGAATTACTATTTCATGCTAGAGAAGAATTTCATTCTAAAGATATTTATAATATCAAGGATATGGCTATTGGATTCTGTATACAGTTAGTAAAAAATGTATAACTATATAAAAATGCACCAGAGGTGCAATTCAGCCGGTTCAGGCTAACTGGTAGTGGCGATGATCAGTTGGCCCCGCCCATCCGCTCCTGCTCTATCCTGTCCTTTATTTCCTGTTTTGTAGCTCATCTCAATTGTGCAGCACACCTGATTTCCCCCCCTCGCTGTTCTACTTACCATTGCTGACCTGGAAGGTAAGCAACTGAGCTTCTAAATGCTCCATTTTCAGCACTGCGCGCAAGTGCCTTGGGCTCACACACATGCAAAGCGCGCGCTCACCGAACCGGTTGTTAAACCAGCAGCATTCGACCACTGGTATAAGTATATACATTTAGTAAAAAAAAATCTGAGAAGTCACATCCTGTACTTACACACTTGATAATACTCCCAAATAGGTTTGCCTTGAGATAGGTTGCATTTCAATGTGTGATCTTAAAAGCTGACATTAGAACTTCTCTGATATTATTTATAATCAGATATTAAATGTACAGACTATTAGAAAAGTGATAGGAAAGCTTTCTTTTCAACTGCCTTTAAATAAATCATATTATGCCTTTTCAGATTAAAAAACGGCCTTCCATCTTATTGGTTTCATGTTAGTCACCCCAAATTCCTGGCTAAACCGACTCCATTAAAATTGGAAAAGGAGGCTCTTCCTCTAATAGTAAAGTTGAGGGAGGAAACATGTTGAGTTGCTTTGATCAGATTTTGAAATAATTTTACTGGATTACCATTGTACTCAAAACATAATTTATAGTAGCTGACATAAGCTGCTCTTTGTATAAGAGTCATAGATATAACAATAACAGGAAAATAAAAAAAAACACAAGAGGAACTAAATCTGTATTATTTATTATTTAGTTCATAAATGCATCCAATTTAATCTTTTGAATCCTGGCATGCTCTTAATAGTAAATGTTCAAATAATATTTAGTATACCCTTGAGAAAAAGCTTTGAATAATTCCTCTGACCTGAGAATTTTTTGGTAAAATGTGACCTCTCCATAACCCAAATATGCAGACTGGACTACACGGAACATATTCTATTATCTAGTACTAAGTCTGCCAAGTACTGACTGAGTAACACATTTTCTGTCTGTAAAGCAATTTTAGTCTTGTTGTATAACTTTAAAAATTAATATTAGTCTATTTACTATTTCCTGTCAACTTAAGGGCATATCAACTGGAAATGACAACCAGTAGAATAAATGATGGGAAGTGTAAAATATTAAATAAAATATTTGTCAGTTTAAAACTGATTAATCTCCAAATCTAGCCTTTCCAATCTGATACCTTGTAGGTAGATTGGAATCTTATCTCCCAGAATTCAATTGACCTAACTCTGGTAGATCATAAGGTGTTTTTTGTTTAGTTAAGCACATTGTTTGAATTCAACCTTTGTAGCTTGTAAACTTCTGTTTATAGTTGTGTAGATCAATTAAAACTATAGAGAAATAGATTGTGTGACTGGGCAATGCACTACTAGGACATGCAGAATTAAATTCTATAGTCTTTATGACTTGTTTTATTCTATCTTTTAAAAACCCAAAAGCGTTTAAATAATATAAAGTCGAAAACTAAGAAGACAATTAGACAGATTTTGAACTCATATGCTATATGAGTTGGTATGTTTTTGTTAGTTGAGAAGTCGTGTCCAACCCATCGTGACCCCATGGGCAACGTTCCTCCAGGCCTTCCTGTCCTCTACCAGCCAAGGTGGCGCAGTGGTTAGAGTGCAGTACTGCAGCTACTTCAGCTGACTGCTAGTTCAGCAGATCAGCGGATCAAATCTCACTGGCTCAAGGTTGACTCAGCCTTCCATCCTTCCGAGGTGGGTAAAATGAGGACCCAGATTGTTGGGGGCAATATGCTATTTAGTATACTGTCTTTGGTGTAAGCCGCCCAGAGTCCTCGGAGAGTGGGCAGCATAGAAATATGACTAATAAATAAATAAATAAATAAATAAATAAATCCTTTGGAGTCCATTTATGCTCACGCCTACTGCTTAAGTGACTCCATCCAGCCACTTCATTCTCTGTCGTCCCCTTCTTCTTTTGCCCTCAATCTTTCCCAGCATTAGCCTCTTCTCCAGTGAGTCCTTCTCATTAGGTGCCCAAAATATTTGAGTTTCATCTTCAGGATCTGGCCTTCTAAAGAGCAGTCAGGGTTGATCTCCTCTAGGACTGACCGGTTTGATCGCCTTGCAGTCCAAGGGACTCTCAGGAGTCTTCTCCAAGTTGGTATGTGAGTTGGCAAATTAAGGGCATCTAATTTTATTTATCTTTCCTGAAAATAAAATTAATATTAAATCACCAAACAACCCCCCAAAATTAGATGAGGCTTGAGAAGTATTTTCAACATATTGTGTCTACATTTAATTTCACTTATTTTAGTGAGGAGGAGAGTGTAAAAGAAATATTGGATCATCTGTTCTTGCAGTTTCCACAAAATGAAGCCTTTTCAGTGATCTGTTAGGACAATGCTACAAGACTGTCTCATTCTTTCCCCAGTTGCATGCCATTAAAAGAACCCAAATGTTACTTTATTTGCTTCCTCAATAAGTTACACACTGCAGATTTCTTCTGTCATTTTTAAGTACCAGCAAATCAAGCAGCCCATTGCATCATGTTGAATACAAATAACTTGCTGACCTACAGCTGTTTGAAATAAGATCCTGATGAAAAGTTTGATCTTCCAAAGAAATGGCAAAAATTGCAGGGTTATCTCTGCCAAATAGCCAAGATATAGTGGAGTAGTATTGCTGGGTGGGAAAAAGGCTGTTTATTTTAATGAAAGACAGAGAAGGATTATTTCTTTTTTTAAAGTGAAAATATTTATTTGAAAGAATTGGTGTCTGGAAAAACTCAGCAACTCGCAGCTCAGCAGAATGATCTAATGGATATATAAAGGCATGAAGTATTTAACAAAACATACATGGTTGCCATAATGCTCATAGACACCTCTGGCATTTACCAAGTTCTTTGTTTTTCTTAGCAAGCGAGTCTTTGCAAATAGGATTTTAAAAAAGAAAATATCAGAATATAGTCATAAGAAACACGCTAGGTAATTGGACACGATCTAAAGTGAAGTGGTAGCCTTTAATTCCCCCTTTTCCCTCTGAACATTCTGGATTCCATATTGGCGTGCACATGTTTGGATAAATGCGAAAAATGTGTATGAAAAAGAAAGGACGTTAAGAAAAGTGATTCCAGTTCAAACAGATATTTTGAAAGAAGCTCCTTGAATAGCTTGTGGGAGGTGGGGGCTGGGATGGAGGAAAGACAGAAGGAAAAAGGAACAAGATAGAAAAGAAGTGAAAGAGCAAGCAAGAGAAATTCAGGATTCAGAATCTCACTTCTTCCTAGATTCAAATTCAAATTGTTGAGCAAGTTATATTGTGACCTCATTAGTTTATCTTCTATGAAATGCATGTTTTCTGTTACATGTAAGTAAGATGGTATATTATGAATCAGTGCTGTTTCTCTAATATTTTATTTGAATTCTATATGTGTCACTAGCAGAAAAGCTAAATCTAAAATGCGTGCCAGAGATATGAATACATAACCTAGAATATATACCAATCTAGACATTAAAATACATTTTACATAGAATTCCTGATAGGAATGAATGAATAGTTCTGCTTCAAGTTATTCTGTGCAGGACAGAAATGACTTTAAGAAGCCTGGAATTGTAACAAACTTGTGAAGAATTTTAAATGATAGAAACATATAGAAGTTTAGTTTACCCTTTCAAATCATAAAAGTAAGTGTCATCATAGGATTTGAAGGAAAAAAATGGCCTGAAAAGTTATTGGATTGGAAACCTGTCCTCTAAAGCAGGGGTCTCCAACCTTGGCAACTTGAAGCCTAGCAGACTTCAACTCCCAGAAAAGCTGGGAGTATAAAATATAATCCTGGTCTGTTAATCTCTGCTATATGACCAAACTAACTAAATTTGAGTATATGCCCTTTTTGGCTATAATTTTTTATGCTGATGAACATGACCTTTAATATGTAGATCAAAAATGTAAGGTCCAGAGCTCTGCTTTCTAGGCCATGTCCACAATATGTTGTCTAAAGAAATCCTTCGCCTTAATTTTGATTTTAAAAAGATCTTTGCAAGACAGATTATCAGGACAAGATCAAGGTTAAAACAATGACCCACTTTATTTTGCTTTAAAACATCAGCATTAAAATGTCCGTTACATCTTCTAAAATCCATAAACATGCCTACGTTTTAATTCAAGAAACAATATAGAAGCTTTTTGTTTGAAGATAAAGCATTTCTGCAGTTTTATGTTTCCACTTTCAACAACACTAGATACTTATAGAAGTGTCAACTGTTTGGTAATATCCTAAAAGTCAAGAAATTCAGGCTTAGAACAATGCACCAATGAGTGAATTTCTTTTTTATCCTGTTTTGGCCCAAAATGAGCCTGGGAAAATGGAGATTGACATTAATTACCTTTTTATTAGCAAGATTTTTAACATTTACCAGGAAAAAGTTTTGGGACTGAAGACATTTTCTTTTTTTAAGGTGACTCTGCTATAGGGAGGAAAACTAAAAACCACACCTTTTGACCTCTACATTTCTTCTTTTGTTGAAAGTGCAAAGAGAAGCCATCCGGAAGGAAGAAAGATTACAGCTATCTATAAACTGTTTGACAGAGGCAGAAATGCTGATAATGTTTGGGGCTGTGTCGGTATTTTTTGGCTGCTTGCATCAGCAGGGGGTTGAAGTAAAACAGAGACTCTTGACGTGTTTGTCTAAAGAGGTGGTAGGGTGATCCCAGCCAGTAAGAGTTCAGCTGAAGTTCAGGACAGATGTTGCCAGTAGTTTATACTTCAGGAAAATAAAATTGCTTCCGGATTTGCCTTTTCCACCTTCGTGGCTCAGCCATTCTGCCTCAAAGGACAGCAATGTCAGTCGGGAAACAGTCTTTGAGCAAGATACCCCGGGTGCGATGACAGTCTAGTTCCTCGATAAATCCATACCAATAGATCACTAATCCGGGACCAAATCTACATTGAAACAAACAAACAACAACAACAACAAAAAACCCAGATATTATTATGTAGAACAGCATATATCATCTGCAAACATTCAGAATTATAAATTTTAAGGGAAACACAGTAAAACAGTGAAATACTTTATAGAGATAGGAGTATTAAGCCCTCACTCTACATTTAGTGGAAAGACAATTTGTAATCTCCATTTTTTGCCTTTGCCTGACTAATAAGTAAGAATCTTAATCATATTTAACACTAGTAACAGAAGGTTCATTTGTTTCACCTAACAGTATGAGCTTTAAAAACTGAAGTTCCAAAAGAGGTGGGGGAGATTGTTTGGTTTTTAATACACATATTGAAAATTAGCAGGAGGACCATCAAAGCAAATTATCACTTATTTTATGTGCCTTCTTATTGTGCACAAGCAACTTCTCGGATCACCATCAGGCCGCTGCAGGCCTGGCCTCCATCCAGAAGTTGTGGGTGCTCCAACGTGGAGGTTTTTAAGAAGCAACTGGACAACCATTTGTCTGAAATGATATAGGGTTTCCTGCTTGAGCTGAGGGTGGGACTAGAAAACCTCCAATGTCCCTTCCAACACTGCTATTCTGTAATTCCTCACATGCCCTTAGGAAGTTCAGGCCCTCAGGAATAATGTGTAATGTGTACAGCTCCATGTTTTGCACATCTGTTTCACCTTTTTCCTATTGAGAGCATTTAATTAGAGGGAAGCCATACTTTTGGCGTAGTGTTGCAAGAATTTTACAGCGAAATCATAAATTATGGATGCTCTGTTTGTAAGAGAGAGCAGCTTTCTGTAATCTAATGTCATGGCAGGGTGTACGACTTGAAGCCAAAAACTGTTTTGTTTTTGTTTTTTCATTTTGAGATTTATTGTACAGTTTAGGTAAGCTGCCAAGAACAGCAACAGTATAGGAGGAGCTGTAAGACATCATATATACAAGTTCAATGCTATGTCATGTAATAGTCTGCACACAATGCTACAGTCAGCCAATAAGGTATCCAGCTTTTGTTAAAATGTTTTAACTATAATGTCTCAAGAGAGCAACAGTCATTAGGTTGATAATGTAACTATCAAAACTGTGGGCAACATCAGACATTGTTATTTCAACTGGAAGGAACTTGCCACAAGTGCAGAAGGACAAGCGAACAAATATTTCAAAAAGGAAAAAACCTAGTTGGCTTCTTTTATTATTTAGATTGGACCTTCTGCTACCCCACTGTTTAATTTTGCCATTTGAGGATTCACAGATATTACTTTCTAAGTGCTCGGTGCTGACATCACATCTTTCATTTAAAAAAAGCTCAGGTGTTTTAGAAAGACAGATGCTAAATAAAGACTAGCCTTGTAGATTTAGCTGTACTAAATAATTCTTCCTACATGTTCACTGGCAGTAAGGCCAGATTACAATGGTCTTCAATCAATTTGTGTCAAGGAGAAGTCAAGAGTGGCTTCTCCTGTATTCTTTGAGAGTTTCTACTGGACTGTAGTCTATTGCCGCATAACAAAATACGGATGTCCATAAAATCTTTTCTCTTATCAAAATATTTCTGAGGAGAGATTTCCAATGAAAGGAAACAGAGAGATAAACAAAGAAACAAACAGACAGACACAAATGGAGGGAGGGAGGGAGGGACGGGGAGGAAAAGAGAAAGAGAGAGAGAGAGAGAGGAAACGAGAACGAGAACTGTCCTACACCAATCTAATCCTTGGATATTGTCTTTTAGCATCTTAAATCTGTGGTTTCCAAGTTATATGCTTGTTGACCATTCTCCCTTAATTTGGAGGCAGATTAGAAAAGCCGATCATCCATCTGAAATTACAGTGGAGAAACACTATGATTGATCTCTCTAAAACGCTGTCTGCTTCTGTCCTTGCTCCATCCTGAAATCACTGGGATTGGATTCCCAATCCTGGACATTTCGACATAATTTTTAAAATCCCAAATGGAAGAGATATCTGGAAAATCCACTTAAGTGGTGATTGTCTGCCTACAGAAATATGGGAATATCAGAGTATCTCAGTGGTGAGTGTATTGGCTTAACATACTTGAAGGGATAGTGGATGGGATCAGTGGGTCATACAAACACCTAAACCTGATTAACTTGATTTTATTTGGGGAACAAGTGTCTTACCCCAGTCAGCCATGTTGTGGCTTGATATGTGATGGGAAAGGTGTTCCTGTAATGGAGGATGCGCTCATCAGGCAGACAAAAATAATGGGAAATCTTAAATTTCTATGAAAATCAGAACTTGAAATATTGAAACTTTTCTTTTCTAGATTTTTTCTCTCTTTGCTTTCAATATTCATGACTGCATGACTGACCAGTGAGGAAGGGACTGATGATGTGATGTAGACTGGCCAATACAATCCAGGTATAAAGGCTCATGTAATATCAGATGTTTCCAAGTGCTACTAAATGGGCAATTGCATTCCAAAAGCTTAGATTTTTTTTGACCCAGCTAATCATTCTGTGAACTATAAAAAAGGAAACTTGATTGGATGAATTGGTGACTAGGAGAGGTATGATTTCCAACAGTTTGTGGTACTGTTATATTATGGAGAGCAGTAACCTTTTGTTAGCCAGATATTTAAAGTTCTTTGGCAAAGCATGACCCAAATTCATGGGAAAAATGATAAAAGTGACTACAGCTACAAAACTTACACATGCAGTGTCAAGGTTTCCTGCCTCCCCTTTTGGAGGCTGAGAAAACAGGAAGTTTTAATTCTCTTCTTTGAAAAAAAAGAAAAACTCTGAAATTTAGGATTTACAGTATACTCAAGTTTTCACCTATTTCCTAATCAAAAGGGTAGTACGCTGTGTTGCAAATTTTTAGCAATTGTTGGAAGCTCTGGGAGTGTATGAAACCTTGAGATCTCAAACTACCTTTTCCTGCCCCATTATACTGTGAGAGAAATCAAAGACTCGGTGACTTTGAGATGTATGATCTATTCTCCCAGTGAAACAGATTATGTCAAGGCTGTGTAAAAGCAGAGCTATGCAAAACCTCAAAGGGGTGCTTTGCTTTGAGCATCATGAAACACTAATGTACTTATTAATTTTAAAGGCCTCAGTGCAAGCAAACTGCGCCAAAATATCCATTTTGAGAACTTCTTCCCTACATTCACAAAAGAACTTCTGCTAGCATTTCTAGTGCGAATTAGAACAGCCAAATCAGAGCAGCTTGCTTTTAGAGTTGAGCCATTGCCCTGAATTTAATCAGTCCATTGATGGAGAATTGTGGTCAATTTGGAAACTAAATTCTTTAAAACTTGACATGCTTACAATAGGAAGAGCCCACGATCCAAGTCTGTTCTCATAACCCCAAGTATACTTTCTTAACAGGTCTGAAACTGGTTATTAAGTCAATTGTAATTCTGTCTTTGAGTCAGTGACAGTACTAAGTACTATACAAATTGCTTCTCTTCATAAGATAGAAAATAGAACAGAATAGAATTCTGTATTGATAGAGTGTGATTGAACACAACAAATTGAACACACAAGGATAGATGATGATGATGATGATAGTTAAATAGATAGAGAGATATAGAGACATACATGCTTTTGAGAGTGTATGTGCATGCACATACACATACACTTCTGTAAATTAAAGTTAGTACATGTGCCACATGAATACAACCCCTATTCTAATTCATTGTTCAAAAAGACTTAAGTGAAGTACTTAAAACCAAAATTAACTTGTTGGCACATTTAGCATTTGGCACTGAATATCAGGAACTCCTGCTGCTAAGCATTAATTTCTCTCTCATTAGCTCACAGAGTCGGAAAATCACAAACAATGCCAGTAGTTAATTATTACTGCTTTAATTTGAGAAGTCATTTAACCTTTTTTCCCCTTTTGTGTCAATGGGAAACATTAAAGAGGTCAAAGATAGAAGCAAGAACCTCCCTTCTAAATTTGAGTCTCAGCCCCATTTTTCATAGATGCATAGATGTGATATGTGAAGAATCCAACTCAGGCTCTAAATTACAGAGTAAGTGCTGAAAACTTATTTATAGATTTAACGCTTCTGTTTCACAATTTGGTGACTAACCTTTCTTTTGTCAGCACTTTTTTTTTAAAAAAAAGTTAGTCATAGATAAAGAGGCAAGAACCCAAAATGCACAAAATGTTGCTCGGTTTTTAAAAATTAAATAAATAATTCTGGAGTGAATAAAAGTCAGAATCAATACAAATAGGAATGCAGTAACACTTTCCTGTTCATATTCACCAATAAATGAGAAGTATATTGCCTCTAATACCTGGTGATTTCATGTACAGCTCTCACAAGAAGTAATTATGACTCTATCCTTTACCAGAATAAAACTGGGCAACGCCACAAACCCTTTTGCATATCATTAGCAGTCTTCTGGCACCCTCAAATTGCATGTGATGAAATTACTGAATTTTAGCAGTGCAATTTTGGACTTATTTGGGAGAATTGAATGGGTGAGAATGGAAGCAGCTTACTGTAAAAAGAAAAATAGCCCCCAATTTATGAACACAAGTGAAACAGTTATTAACTGAGTTTTGCCCCATTTTGCGACCTTTCTTGCCACAGTTATTAAGTGAATCACCGCACTTGTTAAGATAATAATACGGTTGTTAAATGAATCTGGCTTCCCCATTGACTTTGCTTGTCAGAAGGTTGCAAAATGTGATCACATGACCCTAGGACACTGCAACCATCATATATAAATATTTGAGCCAGTTACCAAGCATCTGAATTTTGATCATGTGACCAGAAGGATGCTACAATGATCGTGAGTTTGAAAATGGCCATAGGTCACTTTTTCCAGTGTCATTTTCACTTTGACCGGTCACTAAACGAATGGTTTTAAGTTGAGAACTACCTGTAATATATTTTTTCAGAGAAGAACTGGCGTAGTCCCATGCATATTTTGGCTGTTCTCCTCTGCACTTTTCTGGGTCTCTAAATACAGTATAATAAATTACAAGGTTCTTCATTCCACTATTTATTATGCCT